TTTCTTAAAATCACAGCTAATTTTATATACCTTCTCTCACCTGCCTATTCTTCTAAGCCAAAACCTTCTCTGCAATCACCTTAGTATCCTGTAATGTTCCTTTGATCAATTTCTACCTAGCAACCTTTCTGGCTTAATATTCTTTAAAAAAATATATCATTGGCTCTAATATTATTCACAATATACTCCTCAAAATAATTCTGAATCTGTTATTGTCTACTTATTTTTTAAGCAATTTTTAAACACATTCTTCAGGGCATTATTCCTTCCTTTCTCTACTAACTTTCTTAACATTTTTTGTTAGTTTTGTTAGGTGGTCTCTTAAATTTTGCTGTAGTTCTCTTGACATATGCTGTGCACACTAACTGAATTTTCATTATTCTTTGCGGCAACCTCCAACTGTTATAAAAAAGATCTAAACCTCCTGATGTTTCATTTCAATTTCCTTCTGCATTTTTAAATGTTTCTTTTTCTTAAGTCAATTGAGACTATGTTGAAAGTCTTTGGCAATTTTCCATTTACAAATAAATTGTTTTAAGGTCAGAAATTTGAGATGTACAGGGAACATCTTGCCGTAATTCCCATGAGTCTTTTTTTATTAGATTCCCAAGCTGTCTTTGCAAACCATAAATGTTACTGTTTGTGTAATATTTTTTGAGGGTATCAGAATATAATTTTGTACTTTGCAGTAAAACTGATAGACAAATGTGAAGCCGTAAACTTGCCTGTAAAAAATTTAATACTTTGTTGTTTTCCAGATGAAGGAAGCGAAAAGTGAGTTAGGTTTTCGTGTGCCTAGATGCCAAGCACAGTTATGCAGTCTCCAAAGTGAGGTAGATAAAACCAGCCAATTTCTCATGGGCTTGCTTCAAGGCATTGCCCGCCTTTTTCGTTTGCCAATAATAAATGGAGAACTAGACTTGGAAGTCATGAAACTTGAGTATCTTGAACATATACAAGAGGAAGCTATTGACCAGCTATTGAGCCAGCTCAGCCACTTTGAGGTGATGAGTCTCTTGCTGATGTTGAAGACAAATAATTTGCAATGGACTGGAACTAAGCTGGAGGGACTGATGACTGTCCTGAAAGAGTCTCAGTCTAAGTCAGAAGAATGGCAATCCTGCTTCGAGGAGTCAAGATTTTCCATTAAGCAATGTCCACGGATTTTGATAGATCCAAGTGATCTCACTACCTTACGGTAATGAATGGTGGCGGAATGGCAGTGGAACTTTATTGAATTACAAGTGCCTAATAGTTACTAGAAATGAAGAAAGGTTTTCTTGGTTTGGATTGTTTGGGAAAATTCAATAATATTTGACTAAATCTGAAACAAACACCATCCTTGAGAACAATTTCATCCCTTTTACAGGAGAGAATTTAATGGGAAGAGAGGGAATACTGAGGCAGAATGGGAGAAGAGTTTCAATAGAATAAAATATCTAGGATAGTCACATCAATAAACCAACTCTTTGTATTTCAGAAAAATACTGGAATTGTCTTAGATTTTAATTAGAAGACTGTTGAGGGAATCTGAATTCTTTCACAATCTTAAAACAGGAATAAATGGACTTAAGGTTTGGTGCCAGCTCTATTTAGCACATATGGTTATAATAATATATAATCATCTCTCTATTCTTTATATTAAATATTCTTTGAATTAAAATCCTAAATCTTTTAATTTTGAGCCCCCTTTTCTCTCTCAGGTTGTGGGAGATGCTGGACAAACACTATCAAGAGAAACATCTTTTTCGTTCATATGAGACTTTGGCAAACAGGGGTTCAAGATTGCATCAGGAACTCAAAATGCTTCAAGTACAGCTAGCCACTCCATTTTCTCAATTTCTTAAACTGGAGTCCCAGAACAAGGCACTGAACTGTTTGATGTATGGTGACTTCAATCAGTTAATGCTTCATTCTCAGGTATGTAAAGGTCTTTGTCCTTTATATATTAAGTTCTGTTCTTTTACTACATTATTACTATTCTGACTCAGCTCCCAAACATGATAAACCCTCTGTAGTTAAATAAATGTTCCCTTTATTAGAGTGCCAGCAGCTCCGCAAAAAGTCTCTCTCTCTCACAGCAGGCTAACAAGTCTGTCCGGCAGGGGGATGAGTAGTTGTCTGCCACACCTATTCATCTCTGCCCCCTGCCTTTTATCCCCAGAGCTAGGGTGGGGCTTTGCTAGCAGCAATGCTCTTCCATCCCAAGGATCGGCCCATAGATTTCCATTGCTCTCCCCTCCTTTGCCTTCTGTGCATCCATGCATCAGGCACTAGACCCAGCTGTTTCTCTTCTTCCTCATCAGCCACCTCCAGATCTGGGGGCTGTTGACTCTCCATCTGAGGGCTGATGGATGGCCCAGGCTCCACCTCTGTCCCTATCTCTGATAGTTCCATCCCCTCTTCCCCCTCGGAGCTCTCAGATTGCCTTGATGCTGGACCTAACTCCCACACTGCCTCCGGCTGGAAGGGCCAGTGGCTGACAGGCCACAACAATTGCTCTATATTTACAGACATCCTAGAATACCCAAGAAAACAATCAATCTATCCTACCATAATTAAGTTTTCTCCCTTTGAGATGCTAAATGAATTTTGGATAGCAAGCCCCCTTCCATGTGAATTAGACAAATCAAATGCTGCTTTTCGCACACTTGCTTTGACCACTCTTCTTTGCAGGAATTGTCAGAACCTCTGGAGCAACTTAACATCACACAAGCTAAAATCTATCAAATTCTAATGGACACCCAGACCGACATAAAGGCCAAACGCAAAGCTCTGCAGAGCCACTTCCAGAAGATGGAGCGCAACCTCTACATTTACTTCTTCAGTAACCCGGACCTTCTGAGGAAGATGGTAGAAAAAGCTGAAAAGCAGACACAGGTATCTTCGTGAGCATAATGGAGCCATCAGCGGACAAGAAAATAAGAAAATCTTGCTCAAAGGGGCTCTCATAAAAATTCTGCCTCAACTGAAAGGAAAGCGTCCGAGAGGAGTATTCTGGCATTGTTAGCAGAGTAAAGTTTCATCTTCTTACCATCTCTTCTCTGAAGAATATATTAATGTCTATTAAGTTGGAGGCCTTTTTCTGGGAGTTGATTTGACAAAATGTGTCCATTACCATAAATCACCTGGGAAGTATTGTACAGTATAAGGATTCCATGTATAATGTTCTTTTTTGGATTCTTACAATGCCGCAATATAGAATAGTAGAATATATACATGTGGAGGTGGGGCAGGTGGTTTCTTCTGAATTTGTTGTGCAGAAATTGAGATAGGGTATATAAACACTGAATATTTTAAAGAATTGAAATAAAGATACTTGTAAGAATTGGCATTATCTATCTCTCCTTTGATATATTTTCCATTTCAATTTTTTTACTTCAAAAAGCTGTCAATTAATTCAAAGACTAATGTGTTTTTTTAGCTCTCAAGAAGGCCAAATTCAATTCTTTCCCCTCCTTTATGTTGTTGTCTTTTTAAATTCAGTCCTCTTAAATAAATCTCTGCATCTATTACTTGTGTTGGAAAGATCCTATTGAAATTATTAAAAAAAATCCATGCCTTAATTATTTATTAATTTTCATAGTTTAAACAAAGTACTATGCTGACAAAGCTATAACCATGCTGATATTGCATAATCTGGTTGTGATTTGGTAATATAAATGCTTCTTCAGACATTTTATTTTCAGTGTGAATGAACTATCCTGAAAACGTAAAAGAGACTTGATGGTGAAATAATTGTATAAGCTATTTTGCAAATATTCTCTGAACATTAGGATGTTACAGTCATTTTAAGTCAACCTTTCTCAATCTTGTGCCCTCTGCAAGGATAACACTACAGCACCTACAATTCCCACTGAGCATGGTTAATACTGGGGAAATAGAAAATCTGATAGTGATAATTTTCAAAGTATGGTCTGTGAAAGTTCATACATGGTCCACCATAGCCTCCCAGATTTAGCTAACTTGCTGCTTCAGTTCTGCCTCCCATCATGCACCAACCATCACCTTAATGCCTGCCTATATGTCCTTACAATGTGCTGCTTCATGAAAATGGAGCAGAGGCTGACAGCTGCTTTGATGAATCTTACAAATGATACTACAAATAGCAATATGAATAGAGAAAATCAATACATGAGCCAGTCTTGAATGTAATGATCAACTGTGACTCCATGTGGGCGATACTAAACAAAACTATAATCCCATACAAGCCCCAAAGTAGATTGTGACTAAAAATAATAATATAATGAACCAAAATTTGGCCAAAGATCCAATTGCCCCATAGAAATGTTTACTGAAGAGCATTTGTAATCTAATTCCTACTTGTTATGGCATGGGATACATGATTCAAGCAGTAAATAAATATTTGATCTTAGATTAAAATAGTATTTAGCAGGTATATTTGGTATGGATTTATTGTGCTAAGCCCAGCACAAAAACTATGTTTTTCCCAACAACAATCCTGTGAAGTAGATTGGGCTGAGAGAGGCTGACCAACTCAAAAATCACCCTTTGAACTTCCACGGCACGAGCTGGGTCTCCTCACTTCTAATCCAATGACTATACCAGACTGACTCAAAATTGGTACAAAATCTAGCTTTGCTCAGGTAGGGAACGACTGATTTATCTTGGCTGCTATCTCCAATTCTTGGGTCACTACATGCAAAAGCCTAGGAAGGAAACAGCTTGTGGATCAGCACCACATCCAGAGGCGATGGAAACCATATCTTGATCAGGTAATTCCTTCAAAACTTGAAACTGCTGTGGTTTTTGACAGTGAAGTCATAAGGGGGGGCTGGATGGCATATGGCCTAATTTATATGCTTCAGGAAGTGCAAAGAGTGGAAGAGTTTCAAGGTCCTTCTTTATACCTGGGTACCATAACGCCATTGTATTAGAGGTATATGTACCAAATGAAATAGCCGACTGTATCATGCAGGGAGTGAGACACCCCAAAGAGGTTGTACCAAATTTGTGCTAAAATCTATCCTCTTTATTACCTCAGTAACATCATTTTTGTTGAGATTCCTCAAGCTTGCGAGGGCAGCATCCAGAGCAGGGAGGGCTTCTGCTAGGTCTTTCTGTGCATCATCAGCAATAGCCTGAGCAGTTTGAGCTTTCACTTTAGCTTTCATTTCTTCTGCTTGTACCGCATTTCTTGTCTCTTCTGCTACAGCTGTGTCTACCTGCAATAACACAAAAGTGTTTAGGACTGTGTACAATCTCTCTCTCTTTCACCTCACTCAAATTTTCATTGGAGAATATAGCTTAATTGGTTACCTATAATGTTATAGTTGTTGTAGATACTTTTTCATTGGGTATTTTGTAAAATGTTTGGAATCTGTATCATACTATGGCTGATGGACACCAACCGTACCATCTCTGGATGGCTAGACATGATGAGAATGTAAGAACTAGAAAAGCTAAAGATTTTCAAATCCTGATATGCTGTAGCAATATTTTATTGAGGTGCGACAAATGTAGAAGAACTTAAATTCCTTGTAAATTTGCCTTTAGGGTTCAGTTGATCTTTAAGATCTATTGGCAATAATTTTATTTTATTTAGATACAGAGAGAGCATGTAACAGAAACACAGGCAATATTAAAGGCTTGATTCTAAGTACTTTTTTTGAGAATACGACATTTCTATCAATTAAGGTTGTAAATCTAATTCAACAATCTAACCGCTTTAGCCTTATTATCCTTATTTTCTGGAAGATTTGAAATAGTTTAAATACATTTACCGCTATAATAAAGGTGCAGCCATTTAATAAAAAAGTTCTTTTCCCTGATAGTGAACAGAACTGATGAAGATGTAATTGTGACCAAAATTTTAAGCTTAATGGGATTACAAATTGTGCAACATACAATTATTATTAAGGGAATTAAACTTACTTATTTAGCAAATGCTGATGGTACATTAGCCAGGAGACTACAGTGTTAATACAGAGTACTTATTTAACAGATTAATGGAGTTGGAAGGGATCTTGTAGGTCATCTAGTCCAACCCCCTGCCCAATAGAAAACCCTACACCAATTTTGACAAATGGCACTCCAGTCTTTTCTTGAAAGCTTCCAGTGATGAAGCTTCTACAACTTCTGAATTTGGCTGCCTAATATTGCTAGCCCCTTTGGTTCACACTTGTGTACCATCCAGAAATGCACTATAGGAGGCGGAATAGCACTAGACTCATTAGTTATCCAGTGCTTTTTCTCTCCATCGATTTGCCTTGTGTTTGGGCACAACATTTGTGCAGGTCCAGCGCTGATTTGGTTCATACGTCCACACAAAGCAGTATTATTTTTCTCACCAAAGTGGTATCAATTTATTTAGTTGCCTGTATCAAGTTGGAGTGGCTCAAAGACCACAGAGTGTTGGATAATCTTTCCTAACCTCTGCCTCTCAGAGTTGAGAAAAAAAACACCTTCAACCCTTGTAATTGTCAAGTAACAGGCCTTCACAGTATTAGAGGAACTGAATTCCAAGTTACTTGGAGGGCATCAAATTGAATAAAAGATATTGTTGGAAGATGGAAGGACAATTGAAAACGCAAAGGAAATGACCACAAAGACTGATATGTCCTTTCTTGAAGGGCATGAAAGGCTTCTGAATGAGGCTATTTGTACTATGGAGTAAAATGAATTACAGCATTTCTAAAGGAATAAATGTAAATTCCAAATTCTTGACTGCGTGAAATAGTTTAGGAACATGGCTTAAAGAATACATTTTTGTCTTGAGAAGCAACTTACATATTGAACTAACTGTTTGGGTACTAAAGTAAAAGGAACTCAAGATATTTTGTCACCTCCATAAGGAAATATAAATGGCACTCCTCCCTTGTATAATAAAAGCAACAATAAACAAGATTTTGTGGCTCTTTAATGGCATTCAACCTATACTTTCCTATTTTAAGCGCAGGCCAGGGCCTAGCAAAAAGCAACATGGATATGCAATATAAATGCTGCTTTCTTCAACATAGGAACAATGAGATTTAGCATTTGCACATAATATTATGTTTATCTTGCATCCATTGCTTCTGAAGGTAGATTGCAGAGCATACAATACCTGTATTTGTTCCATGGTCACGAGTGTGTCTTTGGCAGCCTCTGCCAGCAGGGGGCGAGCTAATTCTAGCTCTTCCTGCATTTTTGCTACATCATCTGCTGTTCGCAAAAGCTGGAGGGAAAGAAAACTATATATAAAATCCATCAAGGTGAATCTCAAAGGAAGAGAAGAATGTAGTGATCATACTTGAAAGAATTTAAGTGGGATAGAAATTATTTTCTCTTGTCTCCTGAGTGTGTCAGTACACTACATGAACCAAACAGCCTAGTAGATGGCATATGGGTAACTTGTAGAATCTCTAATCAAGGCAGTCTCCTGATTAGAGATTCTCATTTGCACAGAATAATGTGAGTATGCTTGTCATCAAGATCTTTCAGGTATAAAATTCTTGATCACAATCCAGTCAGAATAAGTATTAGTGAAATTTTGAGCATAGATGTAACTATGCCATGAACTAAATGGTAAATACAGATGTTTAACTTTGGTTGACTCTTGTCAGTTGTAGTTATTTTTTAGTTTAAAGTTGGCTGTTTCCATTGTCAATGTTTGGCTTTTCCATGGTTTTATTATGCGGTGTCATGTTTCTTATAATCTCTAATCTATATTCATAAAATGTCTAATATTTCCTTAAAAATAAAACCAAATTCACCAGCATCAATAGTAGCATTTTCACATTAATTAAATGTAAGGATTCAGTGATATCACTTGGATAGTTTAGTCTGATTCACTAGAACTGTCAGTGATTTTATTGGGAACTAGGTTCAGTAATTTAGGCTAGGTCCAATTTTGGGAAAATACCCCCCTCCCCCTTTTTTCCAAAAATCAGAAAAATGCTAGGCCAGCTTTATTCAGGAAAAGATAGCAACAAAATGTTTAGCTTTCATATGTGTACATATGCACACACATGAAGAGAAAACGATTGTCTGCTTATATTCAACATAAATATGTTAGCAGTTATGGTGAATATGGTGAGGAGATGATAATTTTGTGTGGTAAAACATTTGGTGCAATTTTAAAGCAATATCAAAAGTTGCTTCAAGACCTTTCAATACAGGAGTCATTGCAACAATCCATTATGTGAATTTCCTCCAAAAAGAGGAAGAAAATCAATGCAAATATCTCTAATGAATCCCACCTTATCCAGTCCACTCTTCATCCTGTTCTTGGCAACGTTCAGCTCCTGTTTCTTTGTTCCTATCAAACTGATGAAGATACCAAGCAGCTCCAAATAGCTTTTGGGAGTGACATAATTATGTCTTGCCAATTCTGCCAGATATGCCTTGCACTTAACTGCAACACTCTGATGAATCTCTACACACATTTGAATCTACAATATAGAAAACAATTTTAAGAAGCTTCAATGACTTTTTAACAAAGTAGGTATTCAAACCAAATGAGTTGATTTATGAAATACATAATTTAGGCAAATATCAAACAACATGAAAAATGGTACACATTCTAACTATTTAAAAAAAGCTCTAAATTCTAATGACTATCTTTGATTACCAATCAGCTGCTAAACTTTACAACATCTTTCACAGAACACCAAATTTGTTTCAAGAGAGGTATTTACCATGCCTTCTAAAACTTCAGGAGTAATCTCTGAGATATCTTTGAAAAAGGCAGCAGCAACAGATTCCAAGGCTTCTGAAGGCCATTCGTTGAACCAGTCAATAGTACAGCAGTTTACCAGCGATGGGAACTGTCTGAGGCGTGCTCGGAATACCTCCCCAATAGGACTAAATTGTCAGGAAACAGAAAAGAGTAAGAAAAGTTCTTGTTACAACAGTTTGTGTTAGTTTTGTTCTACTGGAATACATTATAGGCAGGAAAGGCTGTCCTGGAGACAGAGCGAAGGATAGTGGGTTCCATTATAACTGAAGGTGGAAGCACTATGCCTCATAAGCTTTAATCCTTCTAGTATCTATAGATTTGAAAGACTTGGTCTTCAAGAGCTTGGTTCAAGGACAACCCCCCCCCCCATGTTCTCAACACTTCATTTCACCAAGATTAGTAAATTAGGAAGTTTAAATTTACAGTAATCCAAAGCAAAACTACGGAAAGATGCAAAATAATGTCTAAAGCCTGGAGTGGGTGTGTGGGTGTGATAGGGAGAAGTGGCTCACTCGCTCAAGGAAATACTTAAGGCAAAGCCAAGGCCAAATCCTGCGGTAGCAGTAAAAATAATAATGGAATTATTGTTTCAAAACCTCATCTTGGTACAAAACAAGAAGGGCTTAGATAGATATACTCTTCTCCCCCACAAACTCTAACAAGCTCTAAGTGCCATGATATTCTCTCTATAGTGGGAAAAAAGGTTAACATATCTCACAAATTCTTCCAAAACAGGAAAAATGGCAACCATGGCATATACAGAACTTTTCAAAATGCAGGTTTCAATTCAGATCTTCACTTTGCAACAGTGGTAGGGGAAGCTTATAGACTAGAGACTTAGGACCACATGTGTAATTAAATGGGCAGGAGTAGGATGGAAGTACCACTGGCTCAAGTATTTTTTGTGTAGCATGCTGGGGCAAATGTGAATGAATAAATAGAACTCTCTGTCTTCCTTTTTAGATACTTTTAGAATAAAATCCCCTAATCTGAAGCTATGTAGGCCTTTTGGATGACATTTCCCATTATCCCTGAAGGGATGAAGTGTTACTAGTCACAAATTGTTTTTTTGTATCAGCTTGGAAGGTTGCTGTGGAGTAATTATATAGATTTCTATGATATGAGTCACCATTAAAGGAGAGGAAAGTTGCTGAAAGTGAAGAGTTTCTTTTTTCCTGTAAGCCATATGTACCAGGTTAGCTCATACCTCATACATAGTACTGTATGGATATTACTGCGCACTTTTCCTGTATATGCAGCCATCAGGTTGGCCTTGGTGGGTTGAAGTCCCTGGTCCTGAACAAATGGTTTCATAGCAGTCATAATCTGGTCTTGCTCATCTAGGGCATACAAGTTGGGTATGTCTCCTGAATTCAACAAGTTGTTGATATCCTCTAGGAAGGATTCACTTTTGATCTAAAAAACATACATAATAATATTATGTTCATTGTTTCAATGTTCTCCATGACCTCTCCAATATATCTATTTCATTTTTATATTAGCAGATTTTATTTAACCAACCAACCAATACATTTTCTGTATATCGAAAGATTCAATATCACTCTTTTTCTTGGTTGTGGGCTGGCTGCTGGAAGGCTCTGTAAGAGAGACTTCTGGACAGAGAGTCTTCTAGCAGCCAGCCCACAACCATAGAGCGCACTCCTAGAGCAGCCGCTGCTGGAAGACTAGGCAGCCGAGTTTGGGAGTTTGGAACCAGAGAAGAAGTTATGCTCGGAGTGTGGTGGCGGCTGCTGCAGGGAGACCTGGGCCCGGACATGTTGAGGCTAGGAGGCATGCCTGCTGGGGATGGAACAGGTGCTTGCGCAACCCCCTTCTCCAGCCCGGCAGAGCTCCATGCACTGGCCTAGGGGGTATCCCTAATGTGCCATGCCGCGGGAGCTGGGGAACGGGCAGAGCACCACGTAGCTTGACGCCTTAGGGATACCCCCTAGGCCAGTGCATGGAGCTCTGCCGGGCTGGAGAAGGGGTTTGCCGGGCGGTTGCTCGTGAGCTTGTTCACCTCATGGCTGCTTCACCCCTGAGGCTGTGCCTAGCTCTTCAGGAGCCAGTTTGCAAGGGAGCAGTTGCCCGGCAACCCCAAAACAATAAGCCCTCCCCTATAATAAGCCCAAGGCCATATTTTGTAAATAAAAAGAAAATAAGACCCTGTCGTATTTTGGGGGAAACACGGTAGGAATAGAGATAGATTGGTGGTCCTACTTACAAATTCAGACAATATATAAAGAGGATTTAGAAAAAAATATGGCTTCTATAAAGAACAGCAAGTGCTTGATAAAATAACACAGGGATAGAGGAAAAAATGACAACAAAACATATAATTATTTCCTGAGATTTAAAATGGAAGAAGAAACGGTCAAGGAAACCATGATAATTTGGGCAAAAAACTTTGACTATAATATTGAAATATTGGGAAAAATTGTTTGCGTGTGTATGTAAATTTCAAATTATCAATGTAGGCAGCCTATAAAGAAAATCTATACAAAATTTTTTATCATTGGCATTTACCCCCAGCAAGACTGGCCAAAATGTTCCCAAATAGGTTGGCGGAATGATTAAGATATAAGCACAAACAAGGTACATTTGTTCATATGTGGTGGACATGTTCAGCAGTCAGGAAGTATTGGATCATAATAAGGAAATAATTAGAGCTGAAACCGGAATTATTCCTACTAGGTATAATAAGAAAACTTATGCAAGGATTGGAGGCTCATATTACACCTCTTCTCCATGAACTATATGGGCTACCAGTCTGTTCTGAGTGAAGTTCAAGTTTTGGTTATGATTTATAAAACCCTTAATGGTGTAAGTCCAGGCTGCCTGGTGAACTACCTTGTCCCACTAAGACTATCCTATTCTATTTGGGCTGGCAGAGAAGGCCTACTGGGAACTCATTGGTAAAGAACTCCAACTGTTGTGATCCAGAAGAGCCTTCTCTGCTGCAGCACCTGCCCTTTGGAACAGCCTGCCCTCTAATGTAAGATCTGCCTCAATTTCCTATCCTTCTCTGGCTTTGGAGGTTGGCCTGGCGGTTTGCTAGGGGAGTTCTACTCTGGAGATGGCTGCACATTGACAGCAGACTCCCCCTCCCCCCTTCTCTGCTCCCCACTTGCCCATCGTTTTTAGTAGTTGTATTGATGTATTTTCTTTGTTTTCTTTGTCCTTGTTTTATTTTTTTGTTTCTATTAAATTACTTTTGCTTTGCTTAAACTTCCTTGTCCTTTATTTTAATTATTGTTGTGAGTAACCTAGAGTAGCCCCATGTTGAGATAGGCGGCAAATAAGTATCCTCCTCCCCCCCCTCATCTTTTTGATCGTTATCTAGTTCCTATGGTTAATTCAAGAACGTTTTGGAAATGCTAGTAGGACTAGTCAGATGCAAATATAATATTAAAATACTATATAAGGAATGGATGACCGGCTAAGAGTGGGAGCCTTTTAATAGAAGTATTATAGAGATTCTAAGATGAGGCTGATGATTTCAATTTTATGCATGCTTATTGGGGATTAATTGTCATTGAATTTAAGGAGAATAACACATAACTAGATATAAATAGTACAGGATTGCATTATATGAGAAGTAGATGAGCTGGATAAGCCCATTGTGGGGACTCTTCTGAGCACACTAATGACTATTACTCATGTAAGAAGCATGCTAACAAATACAGTACATGAGGAAATTCTAATCCTTGAACTCTGCCAATAGATTTGCTTACCTGGGTATCTGTAAACAAAAATGTAATAGAGAGGCTTTGCAAGCCAGCCTTCAGCATAATCTTTTTGATGTCTTCTCTCCACTCAGCTGTCCCATAGTTTTTTGAAAGCTCTATCTGGAAGCATTCATAATCAGCTCTAAAAAGGAAGGAATCTGAATCAGGACATGAGCTACTCCTGTAAAGATATTACTGAAGAACATCATTAGGAAGATTTCAAACACTGCCACAAAACAAATGTCAATAGTGTTTTGACATTTTCATTACAAAAGTTGTAATTGTAAATGAAACAAACCACTTTGAAGATAAAATAGCTTATTTCTTTAGCAACAAATATATTGAAGTGAACAGGTCAAAATCTGCTGGATAAAAGTGTGATTTTTTCTGTGTGGACTTATTTCTATTGTAAATATGGTTATGACGTATAGTTTAACTTATGGAATTATTTTGCAATGACCCTCACTGATCATGAAGTTGTTATTGCCGCCTTGCGAAAGTGATCCTCACCCCAATATTTTAGTAACATATCCAGATGGTTTTGTTGCACTTCCTACCACTGGAAACAATGATCTATGTCTTTGGTGATGGAATATACATTTTATTTAGTTCCTAATTCCTGGTTGCTATCTGTGGCATGCTAACTTGCAAATCCTGGCTTTGAATAATTTGCATTCTAAGTAACTTGTCACAGCTTACTAGTGCAGAAATGAGTAACATGCATTTATATCTTACATATGAGATGCCAGCTTAGTCAGTGATTGTCTTCCACTACCACCAACACCCAAGAGAAGAGCATTGCCCAATGCCTGGCGTAGAATACGTGTGATTCGGCATATGTGTGCCAAAGCGTCCATGAATAGCACTAGCTTCATCTTAGTAGTATTGATCTGATTGTATTCATCCATATACTCTTCTATTACACGTATAAGCTGGGAACAAAGCCAAAAAAAAAAAGATCAATAAGACCAGTTAGTTAGGAAAGACACATTTTTGGAGGCCATCTTAGGAGAAGTGCATCCCTTCTGTCTATTATCATCAGATGCCACTGATGATAATAAATGAAATACTGTTATTTGAAAGAATAAAATTAGAATCTGAGTTCCAAAACTGATATCTTTTAGGCAACAAAGGGAAACATTGACTTTGATATCTGAGACTAAATATGGTACACAAAGAATTAGAACTAGCATACTTAGTTTTGCTGCAACAATCGTATCAATAAATTGGGTAAGATTGCAGAGTAAAATTCATTGTTTTACCATGATTGACTTGATTAAGTCATCTAACTCCTCATAGCCTCAACTATCTGAGCAACAGATGTGACAAATATTTGCTTACCAAAGAAGCCAGAATAATTAATGACTATAATTCATTTGGTGATCAAGAAAAAAAGCATACTGTTATCATTATTATTTCGGGCTACATGGCAGTGAATGCAAAGGACATCATTCCTTATTAAAATCTTTACATTTTTACCCTCTGCTTAATTAACATTTTCTCAGTAAGCACACTCTCCTTCCACTTGGGAGTTCTGTGGGAAGGGTAATTACTTGCAAAGGTCAGCTGTAAAGATTTTAATGGCATTCACTGCAGTACTAGGAACATAAAACTTGTTCTCTTTCCTAGTTTATTGCATTTTTCAAGCGTAAGTACTATGCTCAAGTCATCTGCATAGCAGATTCCCAACTGTTCTTTATTACTTGCCTAAACACCAAAAGAAGCAGGGGGCTTGGGGGAAAAGTGCATAATCTAGGTCTGTTCCATCCAGTTTCATCTATCATTCTCAGCATGCTTCTGGAGTTCAGTCTATCCTTGCACAACCTTATTCTTCTTACACAGAAAATAATACATACTTTTAATATATGCTTCCCGTGTTAGCCCACATGTGCAACATATCTAGAATATTTTTCCACACTTTAAGTTGTCCTTAACCATATGTAAATTATACATTGTGGGCAGGGTGAATTAAAGACATAGCAAACAGAAGAGGCAGAGATGTATCATTTGCAACCTACTTTCTCTTTGCTATCAATCAGTTCATAAAGCTTCACATCAGACCCAGGCGTCATGAAATCTGCATAAAGAAGGGGCTCAAAAGGAACAACTTCATAAAAACTGGTTTTCCATTCCAACATCATGTCCTTCATCAAGTCATCAAACCAATATCGATCGTCATCATTAACTAAACGATCACGGAACACACGACAGCTTTCATGATACCACAACCTCAGCAGGGTCAATTTATCCTGGCAAAGAATCATAAAGAATGTCTTTAGTAATGTTCCATGTTTGATTTCCACAGGACCCCAAACTATTTCTAAATCGCATATGTGGGCTAGGCAGCTGTATAAATTTAGTAAAATAATACATAAATAAATGTAAATAAATAACTAATCTTTTCTTTACATATTGATTTAAACCAGGGGTGGGTTTCAAAAATTGTTCGAACCTACTCTGTGGGCGTGGCCTCCTTTGTGGGAGTGGCTTGCTGCCCATGTGACCGGATGGGAGTGGCTTGCCACCCATGTGACCGGATGGGCCTGCCACCCATGTGACCTGGTAGGAGTGGCCAAGACGATGTTATTACTAAATATTACTAATTACTAAATATTATTAATATTACTAGAT